ATATACATATATACACACGTACATATATATGGACTTGTTTTTAATGGTTACGTTTCCATTGGTGGTTATTATTAAATATGGAAATTTGATGCGTGGTGTGATAAGAATCCAGATTCATTAATTGTCATTAATTTTTTTTGGTCAACTATCTAATTTATTATAGTCATCGGATTAATATCTTACAGTTAAAATAATAATACCCATTAATGGGTAAATATTCGAGTAACCATTAAAATCACACCCATATATATATATATATACTCTAATATTTATCCATGGGTGTTATGGTTTTAGTCACAAGATATTAATCCAACGCTTGTAATCAATTGAATAGTTGACCAAAAAAATTAATGACAATTAATGAAATTAGATTCTTATAACGTCACAGCATTAAATTTCTATATTTGCGGTTGACTACCGATGAAAATATAACCATTAAAAACTCGTCTATATATACACATATTTATATATACACACAAAAGAAGCTCAATTGGTCCAAGATAAACCTTAGCTCAAGCTACATGTTTTTCTCATATTAATATGAGGTTATAAATAAGGGAACTCTTATAGTAATTTCCTATAGAAATTACCATGCTTATAGAAATTTCCTTAATTATTAGATTAGTGTTTTAATAGTGTAATCAGTGACCACATTAAAAATTTACAATGCACGATACATAATTACTCATACTCGCACATCATACTATTAAAAAGTAATCCAATGATGAAATAGGGTAAAGCAACCATTCTTATTATAAAAGTTTCATATAAATAAAATTAACCGAGTAGTTTCAAATTCTATACGATGTGACAGATGTATATATAATGCACATAATGAGTTTTGGTATCTGAAATTAATCATATGCTTGATTATCCTCCAAAACTCTGAATGTTCGACTAAGTGTTTGAATTGATATAAGAAGTTAATTTAAAAAAAATAAAAATTAAAAATTAAGGGTTCGTTTAGTATGAAGATTTAAAGCATGTTGATTCTAATCATGATTCTGGAACTAGCCATGATTTATGATTTTGGGTTCAAATCATGATTCCGAAACAATGATTCAGAATTAGAGATTTGAATCACCTTGAATCAAGAGGGGTGGTAGTTTTAGAATCATGATTTGAGCTAGTTTAAAACATCACATCAGATTCTGAATCATCCAAACCAAACACTGATTCTGAATCGTGATTCAGAATCACTGTAAATAAACACTGATTCTGAACCAGGATCCAGAATCATGTCTAGATCCATTTACCAAACACACCTTAAAACTAACCTCGCTTGGGATTCTTCTTTTATAGAAAACAGAGTTCTCTGGAGTTGAATCAACGTAGGAGGGATGTGAGTGGACATAAATGGTATAGAGCCCTTCATGACCTTTGAAGAACATTTCCCAAAGAGGAGCCAAAGGCATTGGTCCCTTTGACAAGAACATGAAAGCTACTTTAGGCACATGTTTTTGTGGCGATCTTCTATTGCTAGTAGCCGTTAAAGCCCTAGAGAACAACTCGTTGTCGTTCATGTAATGAAGGAGATTCGGCTTAATTTCGGGTTCAACGCTACCACGGTCAGGGGCGTGTGGCTCCGCCGGAGGTGGCGGTGGCAGTGAAGGTGGTAGTTGGAACATAAACGGTCGTGTTTGAAGTGATGAGTTTGATATAGTTTTGGCCTGTAATAAAAGCAAAAAACTTTTGAAGTAGAGGCTGATTGAGATGCCAACTGATAAGCCAACAATAAAGAAGACCAAGTGGAAAACATGGCCTAATTGGAAACGGGAAATGGAAATCTTTTGCATTGCTTGAAACTTTTCTGCTAAATTCTGTTTGCCTGGTGCATAAATATATCGGAGGCTGTGATTAATGCAAGCAGGGTTAAGGCCTTGACCACTTACAACTAGCTTATAATAACATTTCAGAGGGTGGAAAAAAGAGAGGCAAAAAAAAAAAAACACAACAAAACAAAACTTTAAGCGAAAGTTAAGATGGCATGCATGTGTTTTGATCTTACCTTTGGCTTTCAAATAAGATCTCAATGAATTTCCTTCTTTTTTTTTTTTTTGGATTTATTGAATATCCTTTATTTTCTATCAAATGGAGGGTAAAATACAAAAATGTCAATCTAATGAGAGATATATATTAAACCCCAATAAACATGGTAATTTTGTAAATTTTAGCCCCGCTAGCCCTTCCTCAACAAAGAATGTTATACCGATCTTTCCCTCCAGCATTTATCAAAGGAAGATTTTTCTCAATATTGCCGTTGGACCTAAAATTTCCAAGTGGGTTTTGCGCAAACTAGGTTTGAATTTTTTTTTTTATTTTGTTATGTAAACGAGAAAAGATGTCATGTTGTCGCCTCCTAAAAATTATGGACTTTCTCTCAAAATAAAAATAGAAAATATGGACTTTTGATTACTCAAGACAGAGTTGACTCTTCATTGTTACTTTTCCTTCATTTTGAAGTCTCTAACCACGTAATGTCCTCGAATCCCTCCCCGGTTGCTTGCCAATTTGGTAGACTATTGCAAATTGCAAAACACTTAAAGAGACGTTTGGTTCATAGATTAAAATTATGTGATTAAAATTATTTTTAATTTACGTGTATTTTTGTGAGAGAAAATAATGTAGCGAACCACGAACCATGATTCGAATCTCCCAACCAAACAAAGCTTTAGTTTAAAATTTAAATTTTGTTATAGTAAAAAATTTTAAAAAATAATTACATCTAATTTTTTTATTATAGTAAAATTTTTTTACATAAAGTCACATCACAACTCAAATAAAAAACTTGAATCAACGAACTAAACGAGCCCGTCAATTAATGCCGATGTTACCGCGCCTTTTTCTATTTTATTTTAGAGAAAATTATATATTAATATTCTATGTTTTAGCATAATTGTCTTTTAATACTATGTATTTTTAATAATTTTAAATTAGTACGTCGACGTTTTATAAAATCATTTTTTAGTACTTTAAGGCCATTTTTTAGAATGTAATATGTCAAAATTACCCTTCTTATTAATTAACCAAAATAATAATAATAATAAATTTAAAAAAATTCTAAATTTTTTTTAAACATTTAAAAATTAAAAAAAAATAATGCTTTAAATTAAAAATAACTTTTTCATATTTTTTTTCTAAATTTATTAGTTTTTGGTAAAGTAATGAGAATGGTAAATTGGACATTTTACATATTAAAAAATGACTTCAAGGTACTAAAAATAATTTTTTAAAATGTTAAGATACCAATTTAAAATTACTAAAAACACAGGATACTAATATGAAATTTTCTCTTTATTTTATATATTATATATATCAAATTAAGAAAAATCTCAATAAAGACTACGACATCATTCATTTCACCGATTCGAGTTTTTAATTTCAATTTTATTACAATTAAAAGCTCTCATAAAAAATCACATCTAACTTTTTTCCTATAATTAAAAACTCTTACATAAAATCACATCTAAATTTAAATTAAAAATTAAAATCAACGCATTAAACGAGACCTACTTTACTTCCTAGTTTTGCATTGAAAAAAAAAAAAGTGTGCATCTTTCGTACAATTCTCTTTTAAGTCATTAATGATGACCCTTTTTGTTATCATTGTTCAATCATATATGTTTTCTAATAGTGTAAGGTTCGCTGGTTATTCTGTAATATGTGGTGTGTGCTACGTGATAGGACACCTCTCATGCTAGAAGAATAAAATCAGCTTCTTCTTTTTTTCAACTTTCTAAGACCTGTTCTTTTTAACTACAATAAGAACTATAATTTCAACCGTTGAAAACTTATTAGAACAGTAATGTACTGCGTAAACACTCACTAATCAAACTGTGAAAACTTAAACCAACAATTAAAAACAGTTCCTATCTATAATTAAAAAGGACAGCCCCTAATGTATATAAAGTTTGGTTAAATTGAATAATGACTTCATTGATTTATTTTGATTACAGCATATGATATATATACAAGTATAACTGAAGTGCTAGTTTTTAGGAAATACATTAACCAGCAGAAACTAAAAACTAGGGATGATCTATTTAAGTTGTTGAGATTGTTTGAGCTTGACATATTCTCAGGGCCGGAGATTTTACAGAAGTTTCTAAGGTTGCAACTGCAAGAGACTTAGGAGGAGTTGTTTCTGAGCGTTCGCTAACACGCCCCCGCAAAACAGTGCTCCCATTGGAGATACCGATCTTGGAGCCAATTTGGTTGAACAGAGAGGAGGACAACGGTTTTGTAAGTGTATCAGCAAGTTGGTCCTTCGACGCAATGTGAGACACCTTAAAAGAACCTTTTGCAACATGATCCTGTACAAAATGATAATCAATGGCAATATGCTTCATACAAGAGTGAAACATCGGATTAACAGGCAAATAAGTTGCTCCAATGTTATCACAAAAAACATTTTTCAGCCTAATATTGCCCTGATTTAGGGCTCTAATCTACCATAATTGAATCCATCAGATTACATCTCAGGGGATTGGAAAGCCCAATAGAATAACAGATTAAGCTTAGTGAATCAAGTAGATGTCATTTACTCGAAGCATAATTTGTATTTTTACCTTCTAATGACCTCCATATGCAAGTTGCAATTCCTGCAAACTTAACTGCGCGTAACAATCCCATTAATCCACCAGAAGATGTATATTTCAGAACCCCTACTTATATCGTGATTTCTTTTTGGCTCAAGATTGTGAAGTTTGGATGGTGAAATAAAAGAATTCAGCATAGTCCAAGTCCAAACCCCCCCTTTATTTCTGCATACAATGAACTGAATCTTCCACTAACCTCTTTAACTATTGTTTTACAATATAAATTCTGTGGAGTTTATAATATCAATATGTTTCTTCACACTTTGGTCACACTTTACCAAGTATTCAAGCTTGACATCTACCAGCCAGTGTAACAGCTTCTTGATTGTTTCTGAAGAGACAGTATTTGAATTAACTAATTTCACAACTTTTGGGACAAGAATTGACAAAGAATTCGAGAAATATGTAAATCAAGAACAAATAGTTTCATTGCTTTTTCTACTAACACAGATACTCACCGGACCCACCAAGCGAAATCGGGTCTAAAACAAATCAAGGAAATACTAATTAACATTCAGCTACAGAATTTGACTACACAGCTATTCAGCTTCATTCTATTATAATGACTTCAGTAGATTATGGAAAACAGATCGGGGAGCAAAAGCTTTATCTCCGAGCCTCAAATCAAAAGGCGGTGAACCTAATATACTAAACAAACAGAAGGCAACATTAAGCATTTTTCAGATTACAAAATGAAAACTTTTTTCAGTTACCAACCTCAGATAATAAGAGAGCCAAGTTAGTTGACAATAGAAGGCAACATTAAAATCACATACGTGTGAAATAAAACCATGAAAGAATGACTAAACATCTAAATATTTGATTTCCAATGAAAGAACTTCAATTGCCGAGACTAAAACATTTTATCTAAACACTTCAACAGTGAAAAGAACGAACTGGGCATACAACAAATTTAATTTTGTATCTCAAATGAAACTCAGTGTAACATAGAAAACCAACTCAAGAGTGCAAGGCAACCACAAAACAAATAGAAACAAAATGTATAAGAAAAAAGCATGTACAGTAAAATTAACCTTGGCACTCGTGATGGTAAAATAAAAGGATAACAGCCAAAGGACTCAACAGCAGACGAAAACAAACAACAAATCAGAACCTTTTTTCCACGTCACAAAAGGAAATCTGGAATCACTTGTGTCTGCGGAATCACACTTTGAGGTACATCCGTTCTTTGTCGGCCTTTATTCTTGCTGTGACGATGACTACTCTTTTTCTTCCCCTCCTGGCCCCTTTCCTCCCTTTCATCACCAGCATTCCTTGAACTTCTGTGTTTTCTATCTTTCCCATGAGATTGGTGCTTGCTTTTTCTTAAACTTTGGTTTCTATTATCCTGTTTGTCTATACTCAAATCTTCTTTCGACTCGGGAGTATCAACATTTACTTTCTCCTTCCCTTTATTCTTAATGGAAGAGCTATCCAATGGCTTATTGTGTGATGAACTGGCTTTGGTGTCACTAGGTAAAAGAACTTCACGTACAGCATCAGAGAGCAAATCATCCTTCGGCTGTCGCTTGGCTGCAATAGGCACTACATCTCCTTCATCTAATTTCACTACCACGGGCCTTGGCTTTGCATGGTTTGGCTTTTTCTTTGGAACAAGTGCTTGCTCTGTAAGCTTAACTAGATCTTCTGCATTGCCCTGTGATTTTAGGTCATTAGCTGGTGGATAATCATTCGATACATCATTCTTCTCCGAAGGAAGATAGTACAACCCGTGACGCTTGCGGTGTTCTGCAAGCAGAAAAGTAGATTCATTTGACGGTTCTGAATCTTCTTTGTTCTGAACTGTTGGAAAAGGAACACCAGCTGTTTCATCTTGAAGAGCACTTCCGAGAGAAAATGAAATTGACGAAGGTAGTTGGACGTCAGGAAGGATTGTTTCCAAGTCCTCAAGATTGTCCTTGAGCGCTAAACCATCTGGTATGGGAACTCTTTCTTGTGCAGTCACTGAGACAGGACCAAGCTCATCAGAAAAGGCATCTTGCATCATTTTGATGATTTTGAAAGCTTCTGTTTCATCCCTTGGCAAAGTTTCTTCCATCTGACTTGAAAAATTTGCTATATCTTTCCTAATCAACTCAATGAAGGAAAGCAAATTCCGTGCTCTTTCAAGTATTTCTACATCATGACTACCTAATAGTGGACCAATCGCCAATTCGATTTTATTTAACACGTTCGTTACAGATTCATCAGTCAAAACATTCATCTCCAATGAAGCCAGACGAGATGTCTGACCACAAAAAGCACCACCAATCTCCTCACCATCATCTCCAGAGATATCATCAGATGATCGATTTAAAACCCTTGGATTAAAGCCTTCCTCCTGTTCATTCTGTGCAGAAGCATTATTTGTTGCCAAATCAGAACCTTCCTGAAAATCTCTTCCAGGTACGAACTGTGACGCGGGCGTCACCAAACTATCAAGACATGAGGTGGAAGAAATTATCTCCGATTGCGAGAAGTAAGAATTTAGACAAAAAATCAATGTTTTAAAGGCAGACTGTATATATACTGCTCTTATCGATGACGGCAAGAGATTTGTACGAGGTTGTATAAGTGCCTCCATTAGTTCTAATGGATTTCTTGAGAACTCAACATATTCCCCTGAAACCCAAGCAGCAGCAGATAATATTCTGTGTAAGAAAGGGTTACCAAGTAATGAAGGATCAATCAGCAAATCACGACCGACGCGAACAACCTCTGGCCTTACGTCCTTCACCCTCATACCGATATCAATAAGCTGCCTCTCAATTTCATCTCCCTTTCGGCAATGCGGGATCCTCGACATTTCTCCCAAGGTCATAACATACCAATCAAAATCGATGATGACCTCATATACATTCCTACAACAAGTTGATAAAATCGACCCCAGAATCTCATTGCAGAACTCAGGGTCAGATTTAAGAGCATAATTGAGCAAAACCCTGGAAATTTCAGTCACTTTACCCTCAGACACCATCGCCATTATTAGCCGCAAGGACTCGAGCTTAATATTCGGATCAAGATCACTCAAAGACTTAATAACAACCTCCTTGTTCTCCAACACCGCCCACAAGTGCTTCGGCGCAGCCACCGAAAGTGCCTGCAGCGCAAGATACATAAGATTCGGATCATCATCAACCAAAAACTCCCGAACCTTGGCAATCGCAAGCCTCACTGCAGAATCATAATCACCAAAGCTAGTCACCACCGTCCTAACGCACTCGAACACCAATGACTTCGCTCCGGTCCTTCTCATATGATCGCAAATCGGCTCAACAACCCTCTTGGCCAGCCTTGGTTCGAGAGGCGCCAACTTTGCGAATATCTTTAGCACCTTAATCAACACCCAATTGTTCTTACAGTCAACCAAAATCTTATAAAACTCGGGCGCTAATGGAAGATACGATCTGGGGTCTTTGGAAGTGAGCTCACAAAAGACCCCAACAGCCGCAGACAAAATCTGAGTATCAGAAACGTGTAAATTCTCAACCAAACGCTTAAAACAAACCCTGGCGGCATCTGGGTATTTCTCAAAAACCCTCAAAATCACACCAATCGCCTTCTTTCTAACCAAAACTTTACTACTCGACAAAAGGGTGTAAATCTCAGGAGTCAAATCTCTAGCCAAATCAACAGTGGCAATTCTAGAAAGACATTCTAAGGCAAGGCTTACCTCGTACTCGTTCGTGCTAGAAAGATCTTTTCGGAGCTGGTTCGTGATGAGGACGAGGACGGGCGTTGTGTCGTTGAAGGAGTGGGAAGCGCAGTGGTAGGCGATCCGCTTGTGGGAGAAGCGGGTGGAGGAGAGGAGCTCGACGACGTGGAAGGCGGCGAAGGACATGCCGTAGAAGTGGAGGGAGCTGAGATACGACAGCTTTTGGAGGGCGACGGCCTTGATGTAGGGGTCGGTGGACTTGATCTCGCGGCGGATCTCGTCCATGGCTTTGGAGATGAAGGCGGTCTCGCCGATGAAGCTCATGCGGAGGCCTTTGATCAGGTCCTCCAGTGTGCGCTGGAAAAGGGTGTCCCTTAGAGAAGAACCAGCCATTGATTTTGGGTTCGATTTGGAGAATTTTGAAAAAAGAAGTCAAAGATGGTGCATTTGGGAAAATGTGTTGCTGGGTTTTTGTTATTGTTTGCTGGGAATTATGGGGGTTTAGAAAAGGGGATCATGATCGCTGTTAATGGAGATTCTGGTTCATTTTTGTTTTGGATTTTAGTTGTTTTCTTCTGTGTTTCCGATAGAGGAGACTGGAGAGCGGAAAAGAAAAGGATACGGGTTTGGTTTTCTGGTGTCTCGGGTTGGAGAAATGGGTTACTTCTCTTTTTGTTTTCTTTTTTTTTTTTTTGCTAAATGAAATAGGTTACTTCTTAAACGACAAAACGGCACTGTTCTGAACAAATGTCGTAATTTGATGCGTCAATGTCAAATATTTTATATCTAAATTGGAAAAAAATCACTCTAAAATAAAATGTTATTTTCTATGCAAATACTAAATTAAATAATGTTTTCTATACAAATACTAAATTAAATAATGTTTTCTATACAAATACCAAATCTGATATTTAATTTTTATTGATTGATATAATAATTTTTTTTTAATCAATTACAACATTGTTCTTCTAAAATTATTTTAATATTAAAAATTTACTTTTAGAAGTTTTAAAACTTATAATGAAGTAGATATCGCAGGTATACCTTGTTAAACGACACCGTTTCAATAAAATATATTATCGTGTAGTGTAGACTGTCTCGTTCGCTTCGCTGATTCGAGTTTAGAATTCGAGTTGAGATGTGACTTTATGTGAGAGCTTTTTACTGTAGTAAAAAAGTTAGATGTGATTGTTTGTGAGAACTTTTTACTGTAAAAAAATTTGAATTCTAAACTCGAATCAGCGAAGTGAACGGGACCTATGTAGTTGAGGATTGGGTTAATATTCTACAACAAACGATCATTTTAAGGGAACGATTACAATCATTAGTTATATCGTGTCGTTTATTAGATTAGGATAATTAACTGTAAAATGTATCTATTGACACTTTCAATTTTTCTTTTCGGACACATTTTTAAACTACCACATTCTACTTATTGCACCCCTCTTTAATTTTCAATAAAATCCACTCATAAACATTTTAAAAAAATCTCTACAACTAAATAAAGTAACAAGTAGTACTTACACAAGCAATAAGGAAACTCTTCTTTTTTATCATGAACTTAAAATCATATGAATTCCACGTGACATACACAATGTGTATATATTAATTTCAGTCACCTAAAAGACTATAAAATCATAAAATTACTTCCGATAATATCATCAATACTATTATGTAATAAATTATAAAATTATATGTTTTGTACAATTATGAGACTATAATTATCACTATAATTTTGGAAATTCTGATGTTGTTAATACTGTTACATAATAAGTTATAAAATCATACAAGTTTCACAGTCATGAGAACATATTGTTCGACAGTCATATATAATCATTCTACCACTAGTAGTCGAATTGTTGCCGAATCTTATAGTAAAAAACTGTTAAAAATAATATTCTTACTTCATAAAAAAAAAAATGCTTGAATTCTTGTCGTTTTAGCAAAAAAAAAAAAATTTACCTCAAAACTATATGCGTTTGGCATTATTAATCTCTTGTTTATTCTGGATATGTATTTCATAGAGAAGTTGTAACTAAATTCTCACAAAAAGTAGCGCACAATAATTTTAGAAGGTCATATTTTTTTTTTTTAAAGGTAGGGTGTGTAATGAGTATTTTCTTGAAATATTGTTGTCTAAAAGTAATTTTATTAATAGGTAATATAATAGTATTAGAAAAGGGTATATGAAAAGTAGAACGGGAGATGTCAATAGACGCATTATCTAGTGTAGAATTTTTTTTTCTTTTTATAAAATTATAAAAAATGATATATTATATTTTAGATTATATCACATTTAGCTTTAGTTTTAATTTGTACTCGATTTTTTACTTGTTTTTCAATCAATGATCAATTTTTTCATAAAAATACCTAAATACTTTTAAAGGGAAAAGAAAGTAAGAACTATAAAATATAAAAACTCAAAAACATAAAAGAAATTTAGGTCTTTTTTCATAGTCAAAATCAAACGTTGACTGAAAAAGATAAAAAGTTTAACATTGAAATATAAAGATATACATTTAATGTGGTCGAAAATATAAGATAATTTTTTTTATATTATCACAAGGCATAAAAACAATGTAAGATAATAGTTTTAAGGTTAAAGAAATGAAAAGGTCAAACATGCTTACCTACAAAAAATAAAATAGTAGGTATCCCTCTTCTATATAACTTATAAGATTATAGATATGAGATCCATTAATTAGGTTCAAATACAGAAAAAAAAAAAAAAAAAAAAAAGTTGTACATATTTCAACTTAACATCCAAGATTTTCTTTAAGAGTGAGTGGGTCGATCTTATAATCGGAGTATTAGAGATGAATCTAAAAGTAATCATTAAGTTATACATGTGACCTCAAGATTAAACTATTAAATATATATATATATATTAGAAAATGTCCCATAATTTTGTAAATGTCAATTATTTATGTTATTAAAAGGTAAAGGACATAAATACTCATTTAAAGAGTATTCTCTTTGATATTTGACCCATAAAAATTGACCCATTGATTTCTAGTTAAATAATTATGTTAGTCAAAAAAGTATTGATCAATAATTGATCAAGAGTAAAGGTAAAAATCCAAACGTAGCTCTAAAAGTAAGTTCAAAAAAAATTTTCTATTTTAAATAATTAGGTGTCATCGTGGCCTTTTATTTTCTATTTATTAATTGAATGATAAATTATTTATTTTTGAGTAGAGTATACAAATAATATTTTTTTACCATCTTGAGTGGTAATTTTGGTTTTCTCAAGTTCCTTCTATATTAGAGAAATGAGACAAATACCCTTTAAAAGTATATGGGTGAATATTTCTATCCCTTATTCTTAACCCTTTTAGTCAAATAACTATACTAATAAAATGTATTAATTAAGAATGAGAGATAAAAATCTAGACTTGTACACTCTTAAAAATAAATTCTTTAATTTTTTCTTCTATAATAATCTATATAATAATAATAATAATTCAACAAATTGGGCTGGTGGTTCTAACGATCCAATTGCTAAATGGAAATGGGCTTTAACAAATTGGACTAGTGGCTCATACGATCCAATTGCCAAATAGAAATGGGCTGGCCTGCGCTCGAAGATGGACCTACGTGTGGGCTTTGAAATTGATAGTGCCGAAGTGATTTGAAAAGGGGAAAATGCACTAAATAGCGTATTTTAGACATACAGTAAATAGCATGTTTTTTAAAATTTAGTAAATTATGGCATGTTCATTTTTTATTCTAAATAAATTTTTTTTTAACCAAATTTATCCTCCTGATTGAGTTTTGTTCTTTTCTTTCTATCATCCCAAAACAGCCGCCTTTTTTCTTACTCTCCCTCTCTGTGATCGTTTCTCTCTCCTCTCGCTCGTCATCGTATCTACTCCGGCCGACTATGAGAAGCCGTGCGATTTCAACGGCAACGGCAAATCGACAACGACGGTGACTCTCTCTCTTGTGCTCTCTCTCTCTCTCTTCTCCCAGTTCCCATAGCAAGTCGAAGTTCACTGTCACGTCACCCATTTCGAAGCTCGGAGTTCGCCATCGATATACTTCGTCTACCTCACAACCTCGGATTTACTCGGCCATTTTTAAAGATCGAGAGCCTGCCGCGCTGCCTAGCCTTCTTCGATTTCTCTGTCTCTCTCGGTCGTCGGAGATCGAATTTGCTCGGCGTTTTCAAAGATCGCGAGCCTACGACGGCGAGCACCAAACGGCTGCGATGAAGCTCGTCGGAGATTGCGAGCCAACCTTACCACCTAAGATTTGTTCTCTCTCTTTTTTTTGCTTGTTTTTGTTGGAGATTTCACCGAATTTGGGTTTGGTTGTCTATTTCTGCGTGGATTTTCCGAGAAGGCATAACACAGATCGGGAGACAATGAGATGTTGATCTTAGATTTTTATATTTTTGTAATTTTTGAGATATGTATTATTTCATGTTTTAGAATGTTTTTTTACTGTGATTTGGTTTCCGGTGCCGGAATCCGTATCGAATTTTTGAGTAAATACTATATGTAAATACTTTAGTAATATGAGAAATATTATATTTATCGATAAATATTTTAATAATTATAACAACTCATTGTTGATAATTGTCAATTATTTTAGAAAAGTATCCCATAATTTTGTACATGTCAATTATTTATGTTATTAAAAGGTAAAGGAGATAAATACTTATTTAAATAGTATTCTCTTTGATGTTTGACCTACAAAAATTGATCCTGATTCGAATTATGATTCGTGATTCGCTACAGTATTTTCTCTTATACAAAATTTACGTAAATCGAAAATGATTCGAATCACATGGTTTGAATCCTCCAACTAAACGTGAGTAAAGGTAAAATCCAGACTTAACTCTGAAAATAAGATTAACAATTTTTTCTATTTTAAATAATTAAGTGTCATCATGGCTTTTTATTTTCTCTTTATTAATTGAATGATAAATTATTTACTTTTGAGTGGAGTGACACAAATAATATTTTTTTTTTACCATCTTGAGTGGTATTTTGGTATTCTCAAGTTCCTTTTATATTAGAGAAATAAGATAAATATTCTTTTAAAGTACATAAGTGAATATTTCTATCCATTACTCTTAACTTTTTTAGTTAAATAATGATATTAAAATTTATTAATTAAAAATAAAGGATAAAAATTTAAATCTATCCCCCTAAAAGGTAAATTCTTTAATTTTCTCCTCGATAATAATAATAATATTTCAACAAATTGGGCTAGTGGTTCTAACGATCCAATTACCAAATGGAAGTGGGCTGGTGTGCACTTGAAGCTGGACCTTCGTATGGGCTGCGAAATTGATAGTGCCGAAGTGATTTGAAAAGGGGAAAATGCACTAAAAAGCATATTTTAAACATGCTTTTAAAGTAAATAGCATGTTTTTTAAAATTTAGTAAATTATGACATATGTTAATTTTTTATTCTAAATAAAACAGTTTTTACTAAATTTACCCTCTTGATACCTCTTTCGTCATCGTATCTACCAGCCCGACTGTGAGAAGCAGCACGATTTGAACGGTGACGGCAAATCGACAGTGACAGTGACTCTCTCTCTTGTGTTGTGGATCTCTCTCTCTCTCTTCGCAGTTCCCATAGCAGGTCGAAGTTTACTGTCACATTGCCCATTTTGAAGCTCAGAGTTCACCATCGATATGCTTCGTCTACCTCGC